AGGTGGCTGCGGCCGGCAGCCCGCCACATCCAAGCGACCCTGTGGCCCTGTTAGGGAAAAGAGCGAGGGACTGTATTTGGGACTGTCTAAGGGGAAGAGGGAGGGGGGCAATTCTTTAGCGCGATTCGTCATAATCATTACAAACCTAGGCTTAGGCTAGGCGATTGATTCGTTAGGCATCGTCCTGAAAGTACGCCCGTCCTCCTCAGATTCATTTGGCAATTCGGCAATTCATTCGGCTCATGGTTCGGCTCGGCCCCTGCGAGACTCAGGGTAGGCCACGCCGCAGGACACGCATGCACTGCTGGCACGTTGTTAGCTACCTAGCAGGCGCTATGAGAGCCTACACGCGTGCTGAACTTGGCAGTTTTCGTTACAGCGAATGAAGGGCGTACTCTTTGGAAGATCCCTAAGCAGAATCAGTAGAGTTCTTGCAACGCCGTGCTAATCCTGAACAACACGGGGTACGGTTAACATCCGCAATATATGCGCCTTGCCAACCATACTCTCCGATAAGTTTAATAACTGGGGATAAAATCCTCCCGCTCTCAACACCAGACTACGGAAGCGAAAAGGGAGGGGATGAATCCAGATCAGAGCAGAAATATCCTGCCTGGTCGGGTGGCACTTTGGCTCACGCTCGTTGCTCCCTCTTTCAGTTCACCGGCAGCCAGGAGAGCATCCTGCACCTGGATATCGAAGAGGTGGCCGCATTCGGGCTCATGGACTCACCGCACCAGCCTCGTGGCCGCGTGCAGCAGATGAGGGATCACCACCACCACCACCATCACCACCACCACCAGGCCTCGACAGCGGCGCCCTCGCCGCCGCCGCCGCCGCCGCCCCAAGCTCACCAGGGGAATGACGACCAATCGGCATGTGTAAGTTGACGCGTGAATGCTGCAGACTTTTCTCGCGCTCTGCCATCACACCGCGTCACACTCATTCCTGCTGACTTCCGTTGTTTCGGCTGACTGATAAGGCACGCGGCCCCAGCTTCAAAATGAGACTTACGTTTTCTTTCCCTGGCAGGCCCAGCAGCAGCCTCAGCAGCAGCAGCCACCAGAAGCGAGCGATGAGCGCTGCGACGGCAGTGCGGGCGCAGGCTCTCCTGACCAGCAGCAGGACAATCATGAGGACGAGGGGAGGGGAAAGGGAAGAGGAAAGGACGAAGGGCGAGACCTCTCCAGAGATCCATCCAGAGATCCTTCCAGAGATCCTGCCAGAGATCCTGCCAGAGATCCTGCCAGGGACTCCTCCAGGCCCGTCCGGCCCGCCTCTCCCGGCGCGCTCAGCACCGCAAGCGTGGCCAGCAGTGCGAGCGGCATCAGCTGCTGCAGCAGCGCCAGCAGTGAGAGCGGCAGCAGTGTGACAGACTCGATCCTGCCGCAGGCCAAGCGGCCGCACATCGTGGTGAGCACTTTCTCGGACCACTCACCGGCGCAGTGACAACGCAGTGAAGCTCAAGGCTCAAGCCTGTGCACCGCAGCGACTTGCTGGCCGTACCTATCCTAGGTATGCTTGCCGGAGGCACACCAGCTGGGCAGAGAGAAAATAACGGAAAATCCGAGTCAGTTTTCCGTCGAAGACATGTGTTATTCGAATGATGTCTAGAAATCGGGGTTTTCCCTACGAGGTGTACAGGGTGGGTGCCCGACTCTGCCGAAGTTATGATGTCTGCATTCAGGTGGGCTGATGGGTTGCCTTTGCGCTAGCCGTGCGATGACACCCCCTCCCTTTTCCCTCTCACCCGCACCCGTGCAAGCGGGCTGGGTGCTCACCCTTTCGCTAGGGGGACGCACCTACGGACGTATTATATGTAAAATTATCAGGGATCTGGACTTCAAACTTAATAATATCCTTCGTGGGCTCAGGCCAGCTTGACCACGGATGAACGTCCATCGGAAGTAGAACTAAAGCTTACGTAGAACTGGACTGGAGCTCACATTAATTGGATTTCGAAAAACCCTGCCGAAAAGATTACCGTCCAGGTAGCAGAGACGCGCATATGGTGCATCAAAAATGCCCCCAAAACGCGCTAAAATTTTCAACAAATGCAGGCTTTGTTAGTTGGGTGTCAAACCGGCGTCTTTTTGAGAAAATACATGAAATTAAGAAAACGTGACATCTAAGTAAGGGAGTTAAAATGTTGCTGCTCTTTTCAAATGCGTATAATGGTATTATTTTTTAATTGTTATTAATGTCTATCTGCATCACAAATTACTTCTCCTAAAATAGCTGTAATTTATTCTTTCTGCCTCATATGGCGCAAACTGGAAACTGAAATACTGTACTTTCAATAACATTATTTTTAAATGGTTTTGCCCATCTTGCAAAATTTTATTTCTGAGCTACATTAAAAGCTTTATTTTCCTTCAGTGCCAATATAAGTAGAGTGATATTAAGCTTTGTATGCAAATCTGGCTGTGAAACCTTTACTGTAAGAATGGGGACAAATGATATAATCTTTACAATAAACTGGTGATTTGAAAAAGACCTATTTGTTAGCAAGGACAATATTTTATATAGTAGCTATATGAGTCCCCCTTTGTTTTAAGTCACACATATGTAAATGAATGTAAATAATAGGAGCTACAAACTATGTGGAAGATTATTCTGCATTTTAAATAAGAACTTAATTATTCTAGTAAGACTGCGTGTTTTTGAGTGTTTTTCTAAATGAGATACAATAGTATGATGTACACCAAACTGACTGAAGTGTTGAGTTCATTGTGTATATATAGTAATTTGTAGTTAATATACAGAACAGTATGAACAGGCACTGAACAAATTCTCAACCAATTGTACAACTATGGGGTCAATATATAAGATTGCATCAAATTCTCTTACCAGACCAGATATGTAACAAATATGTATTAGAACCTATCAAAAAGCTTTACAAGGCTTATCATAAACAATAACAAATGGCATGTACATGTCTGTCTCCATGAAAATGGAGCACTTGATGGATACATATTTGTTTGGTCTTTAAAAAGAGCAGCTTTGCTGTATTTCACAGTATTATGTAAGGAAGATAAGCTTCAGGATTTTAAAAAATGATGAAAAAATCTGAAAGTTTAAAAAATCTGGGAATTTGTCAAAGATTAATTATGGTTTGTTTTCTTGAAGAGAGTATTTTTCATATTGTATTTTTATTCATCCAGACAGTTTTCATCTGAAGAGAGACAAATGCCTTAATTGGTATTTCAAATTTATTTCCATATGTATTTCCCTGCTGTTTCCCTTCTTTATTACAATTTACTGTTCAATGTACTTGTAATACATATCTGTATCTGTGAATGGCAAACACAGCTGTAAAATTTCTAAAGAAAATACTAATACTAAGTCGGGCATCAAAATTTCACACATTTTTACATAAGAAAAAAGAAGAAAATTAACTGAAAATGGCATTAGGACTAATCCTCTTCAAATTTTTTTGAATGGGGACATCCAGAAATCAGTTACAAAATAAAAGTCAAATAGATAGGTTGCCAAAGATGGGAAAGTGAAATCATACAATCCTAACGGTAAAACCTCTTGGACAAATTAATTTGAAATACCGAAAATGAATGTTCAGAGGCTAGTCCAGGCCACTCATGCACAGCAGCGTAGTGGCTGTGATAAAAGAAATACAAAAGGTTTTAAATCAAAGTTCATTAATGAAGTACTTTGCAAGATCAATGTAAAACATGTACCTTTTAAAATCTTCTCTAGTCATTTTTAGCTATGTACAGTTTGTACCAACTAATTTACTTTATTTACTCTCAAACAAACAGTGAATTGGGATTTACTTCCACTTAGTGTTTGTGAACATTTGAAAATAAAGCTTCCCTTTCATTTTCAATGTCTGTCCTTATCAACTACAAACCTGTGGATTCCACAAAGTCTACACTGATTCAACTGAAAGGTACAGTGCAGGTCACCTTTTCAAAGTAAACTCAAGGCAATAGAGCAAATGAAACTTGTATTTAATAACACAAACAACATGAATGGGCGTAATATTTCATTTCTAAATACAATGTGCTTACAACATGGTCCTCAACTTAGTTGGATAGTTACATGAAAACACAATTTCTTTAATTTCTTGTCTCTTGTTAACTTAAGCAACACAAGATCAACAAAATAATCACAGCTTTTTAACAGCAAGGAAGGAAATATAAAAATAGTGCTCATCCTTGCTCCCAGGTCTTAGAAAAATCTTTCATCAAAACAGAAATCCATTTCCTGCTTCATCATCAACTTTGGCAACAGATAACTCCTTTTCGTCAATATCTACAAACTCTTTACGACCTTTAGCTTTAACCCTCAGTCTGATGACCGGCCTTTCAGTCTCACTTTTTGGCCAAACAACAAGAATTTGCACAGTGCTACCAGGTGATATGCTGCCACGCTCATGGGCTAGAGCTAACTGACTAATAACACGTCTCTCTACTTCATACTTAATGGACCGAGCTCCATAGTTAACTTCATATCCATCTGTCAGAATGGCCTCAACACTGTGATCCCATTCAAGTTCTATATTATGCTTCTCTTTTGCCTGAAAAACAACAACACATGGTTTGTTTGACACCTAAACAGAAATTTGGTTAAAAATTCTAATGCGTCATCAATTTATGAAAATGTAACTTACCCTTTTAGACCACCTTTGAAGTTCTTTTTGAACAAGCTCAGATAATTCAGATTCTGAGAATGGCAGAAAGTATACAATTTCATTGATGCGTCCCAAAAATTCATCTCTTCTGAAATGTCTCTTAAGTATTGGTTGCACAACTCGCTCCTTAAATTGGCGAGATATTGTAACAGTCTCTGTCATTTCATTTTCTAGAAGTTTAAAAAAATGGAAAAGGTAAATAAAATTATTTGACTGGAAATGATGAAAATACGGTGAATTGTTAGTTTATAATAACTTACGCTTGCTTTCCTCCTTTAATTGCTTGGCCCGCATTTTGGCTTCTTCGCGGAGGTGTAGAGCATGATTAGCAATTTCATCACTTCCAAGGTTGGAGGTCATGACAAAAATTGCATCCTTGCATTCAATGGTTTTTCCTTTGCCATCTGTGAGCCTTCCCTAATTGTTACATAGGGAAAAAAAGGGGGATTTTTATTATTTTTTTAAGTAGGAAATTTATCAGTTTTCTCAGTTTAAAAAAAAGGGGGGAGGGCTTATTTGATTTTGAGACAAATGACAAACCTCGTCAAACAACTGAAGAAGAACTGTGAGAACATCAGGATGGGCCTTATCGACTTCATCAAAGAGCACAACTGCAGAGGGGCAACTTCGTAATCTTTTTGTTAGCTGACCTCCTTCATCATGTCCTACATAGCCAGGTGGAGAACCAATCAGCTTTGAAACCTAAAAAATTAAACTTAAAATTTAAAATCTAAAATGAAAGATTGTTTATTGACATATCAAGAAGTTAATTACTTCATGTTTTTCTTGATATTCTGACATGTCAAGTCGAATAAAAGATTCTGTTTTTGATTTGTGGATATATGATGCCAGCTGCTTGGCTAATTCTGTCTTCCCGATGCCTGATGATCCAAGAAAAAGGAATACAAGAGGATGATCTTCATCAGCCCATCCATTTTCTTTGCGTCTGATGGCTAATACAAACACACAAAATTAACACAATGGCACAAAATAAACCCAGCAGTAAAGTATATTGAAATTTGGCATCTACCTGCAGCGACAGTAACAATTGCATTCTCTTGGCCAACAATATGCTGTCTTAGTCGTTGTTCTAGAGGAAACTTTCTCCTTTCAAGAGCCTCCAGCTCCTTCTGTTTCTTTTCGTACTGGAAAGTATTAATGTATTTTAATAAGTGTTAGGAGAAGAATTTCAGTCAACAATATTAAAGTCCATGCTTACAGTTTTCATATGGGACTCTAGGAGATTAACAAGCCTTCTATTTTCTCTGTTTGAATAACTTAAAGGTTGCTTAGCATGGTCGTTTTGAAGAAGAGGGTTAGCCCCTCCTTGTAGTAGTACAGCGACAGTATCCACATCATCGGCAAGCACGGCATAATGTAAGGCAGTGAAATTGCGGAATGTGGCCATGTAATCTAATCGATCACTAAATTCTTCCTCTCGAACTGTGACAACCTCTGCAGCTCTCATTCCACGTTCCATTGCCGCTCGGTACACATTAGAGAATTCATCTCCCATATTAGGATCTGCCCCAGCATCCAAAAGAACCTTAACAGTTCCCGCTTTGCCATTAATTGCTGCTGCTTGAAGGGCTGTCCAACCCAGTGGGTGGCGTTTGTTGACATCATGACCCTCTCGAATAAGCCTTAAACAAAAACCAAAAGGTTTAGTCAGCGAATAGATTGAAATAAACTAAATTGACAAGGGAAAATAAACAAAATAATAAGTTAATTTTCAGGAAAAAGATTTCACAGACAGACCACAGTGTCTCAATTAAACAAAACTCCTAATAATTTTGAAGAAACAATAATAACAAAATGCAATGATGAACAAATGCACTAACTTTTTAACTTCTGCATCATTTCCATTTTTTGCTGCAGTTACAAGACGTTTATCTGAAACCAAAATTGAAAAATGACAGATTTTATCTTAATTTGATTGAAATCATTAAAATTTAATACCTGAATCATATGAGGCGCAACACGCTGTCATGAATCCTAAACTAAGAAGAGCATATGAGGGTTTAGAAGATATCGATGGGCAACAGCCTGATTGATGTTCATAATCATTATAGTTTGATTGAAACTGAATGCCTAAGTTAGTGTGTCGTTGCGAAAAATGTCTCAATAAAGGAGAATTTATAAGTAATGGATACTTCTGATGCAATCTAAATCTAACCTCTAGCAATTTAGCGCAGTGGAAAGATTTCACAGATAATTGATTTGATAGTACATAACCTCTACGTGAAATGTAATTACCTATAGTTTTTAATAATTTGTCCATATTTTTTATGTTATTAGATATTTAATTGGCGCAAAACATAACAAAATGAAAATTAAACAGACACTTAACTAACTAGCAGACAGTTTCTTTCGACCAGAGGACAACAAAACGCCTTGTAAGACTTGCACAAACCGATTGCCGAGGTAGGTTAACATACGAAAAATAAGAATAAGAAGTGTTGAAATTAAACGCAGTTTCTTTCATAGAAATAATGTTCATAAACTTTTACTCTATTATCATAGTGGAATTCCTTTTTTTAAACATGTTCTTATGTTCTTAGAACCATTTATGAACAATTAAGTTGGCAAAAATTTTCGTGAACGGTTTCTAGAACTGGAGGTCATTGTTGTGGCGGCTGCTACCGGTGTCAATCGTGAAAGTACGAAATTGTTGATTGTTGCTTTTGGTTATGTCACGTATAGAGACTCTTTTTCGGTGACAAGTGCGACGAGTGTCAAGCTTTAATTCTACGAGTTGTAGATTCTGGTAAACTCACATCTCCCATTTTTAAATTACTCTTTTCGTTAATACATTTGCTGTTTTCTTTTCCTTGTACCTTACTGTACTTGTACTTATTCATTTTCAGGGTGACATAATGTCTACGTCCTTGTCACAAGAGCAAAAAGATCGAATGGAGGAAAATAGGAAAAAAGCTTTAGCATTGAGAGCTGCTAAATTAAAACAGCAACAGCCTCCAGCTGCAAGTATTTCTTTGTCTCAACCACATCAGAACAAACCAATTGGAAGCGCTCCTAAACAGTTTTACACTCAACAATCGTCATCTAGTCAATCTCAACAACCATCTTCAAGCTCGGTAGAAAAGCGGAAATACCCTACCATTCCAATTAAAAGTTCTAATGAAAAGCTGAAATACGGTAATGATTTAAATACCAACAAAAAAGGATCCTTAGTTCTGATATCAAGGGAGCGTTTCGAATTGGTCATGGATTATCATCAGCCTACCATAGATGCTATTAAAGCAGTACCAGGCCGACAGTATGGTAGGGAATATTATTGCCTTTAAATGATTTTTTCTGTTGTTTTTATTTTAATCATGATCTTTTACCACAGATATGACAAAGAAAAATTGGAATTTCCCTTTGACACAATATGAAAAAGTTAGAAGTGTTCTGAAAAACCTTCAACCGAGTGTAGTTGTGGGTGACTTGCCCTCACTAGTTGTTGAAGTATGTATCTTCCATTGCTATCCGTTCATGTAAATTTATTACCAATCATCTAATTTTAAGGGAGGAAATGTCTGTACACTAGAGATAATCAGAGTTATAGTTTTCATTATTTTGTAGTTTTAAACTTGCAATCAGCAATGCTTATCGTACTGTTTACTTTCTTGTGTGTTAAACAGACATTTGTAAAGCGCAGATATACTTATAGCTCAGATGTGGATCTGTCACGCATACAATCTTCCATGCGCTCTACACTCATGGACTTTCAAGTAGAAAGTGTTAAGTAAGTTCTCTCATTCACATCTCATCCTCATTAATATACTTGACTATGCAAGGCCTTTGGCAAATAATTACTGTATGCCCTTCAATCATTCCTGCCAGATATTCTGTGTCCAGAGGGGGTCGTGTATTGATTGCAGATGATATGGGTTTGGGAAAAACTATTCAAGCTTTAGCAATAGCTGATTATTATCATGATGAATGGCCTTTGCTAATTGTTTGTCCATCTTCTATGCGGTAAGGTTTTTTATCTGTCTGCTTATTTTTTTATATCTAAAATGCACTAGAAGTACATAGTGAGTCCATTTCAATGTTTTTTTTTTGTTGTTTTAGATTTCAGTGGGTTGCGGAGATTCGCAAACACCTGAAAAATGTGAATGCAGACTCAATTTTTGTCATAACAAATGGGAAGGATGTAATAGACTGCTATTCGGAAGTGGTTATTACTTCCTATGACCTTATGTCAACCTTTGAAACACAACTGTTGGCAAAGAAATTTGGTGTTGTGATTATGGTGAGTAACAATTGTTAGTAAAATGTTAACATACTTAAATTTTGCATGCATTGGGTCATCTTTGTATTGGTAAATTTGTGTTCAGGATGAAAGTCATCATTTGAAGAATCCTAAAGCAATTCGTACGAAGGCAGGAACAAAAATTTTGACAACGTGCAAGCGATGTATTCTTTTAAGTGGTACTCCTGTGCTTAGTCGCCCTGTTGAGCTACACTGTCAACTAAAATGTATCAGACCTCAAATTTTTAATAAGTAAGGATTGCATCCAATTTTGCAAATGAAATACCTAATATTATGCTCCCTAACAACTCTTTAGCAAGTGTGAATCTGACTATGTTTCAGGTTTATGGACTTTGCTCTGAGGTACTGTGATGCGAAACAAACAAAATGGGGCTGGAACTATTCAGGTTCTGCTAATATGAATGAATTAAATATAGTGCTTAAAGAGCTGCTAATGATACGCCGTCTTAAGTCAGATGTCCTATCCCAGCTACCTCCAAAAACAAGGTAAAAGTTAAACTGCTAGTTTCATTTATCTAATCTAATCATTGTGTGATAATTGAGGAGAAATGTCTAGAATGCCCAAGGAAATGACATTTTTCTAGCACTTTGGATATTGCCTGTCACTCATTACTTGATAAAGTAGAACATTTTCTTTCTTCATACATTAATTCATATTTTATGCAATTAGAGAGGTTGTTATGTTGGGTTCGACAACTGGCCCAAAATTGAGTGAAACTTCTGAATTTGCGAAAATTCTTGATGCAGAAGGGTTGAAAGGTTTATCAAAAGTAAACACTCTAATGTCATATTTTCAAGAGACCTCTACTGTTAAAATAAAAGGAGTTACGTAAGTAGTGTAAACTATTCTTCTGTTTTCTTTCAAATCTTTCATTTTTTCAATTATTATTCTTTTGTGGATCATAAAAAAAAATTGTAATTATTGATGGACTATGTTTTCTGATCCTTTCAGCCAATATGTAGAAGATATGATAGAGAATGGAGAGAAATTTCTCATATTTGCTCATCATGGGATAATGATGGATGCAATTTGTACAGCTGTTGAAAAAAAGAAAACTGAGTATGTAAATTTCTTCCTATCCAATGTGTTTTAGTCTGTATCTGAAGACAATTATTACTTATTACCTATTTATTACTATGTTCTAGCTATATCCGCATAGATGGCTCAGTAAAGTCAGAAGTTCGAAAGGATCTGTGCAATCATTTCCAAGAACAAGAGAATTGTTTAGTTGCAGTTCTTTCAATTAAAGCTGCTAATACCGGTCTAACATTAACAGCTGCACGTCTGGTGATATTTGCTGAACTTTGGTGGAATCCAGGTGTAAGTGAAAAAATGAAATGAACATAAATGTAATTTGTGAATTTGATCTAGGTAGCGATTAATCATGATTGCATTTCTGAAATTTTCTAAACTCTGAAGGACCTTATTCAAGCTGAGGATAGAGCTCATCGAATTGGGCAAGCTGATAGTGTTTTGGTACAATACCTTGTCCAGCGTGGGACAGCAGATGACCAAATCTGGCCCCTTATTCAACTAAAACTAGATGTCCTCAGTAAAGCTGGATTAAGCCAAGATGATTTCAAAGTTGAGTCGTCTGTTCATGCCAAGGTGTGTATGGATTTAATAGTGTGTAAGATGCTAATGTATAAAATCATATATTATCATTCAACTGTTTCTTGAATTTTTCAGAGTCATACTGAAGAGAAGACCATTACAGATTATTTTTCTCAAGATGATGATATGATGTTAGCAGATTTAGATTTAAGTACAGTAGAAAATTCTTTTGAAGTTCCTGAAAAGAAAGCACGAATTGAATAGATTACAATTTGCACACAAGAAATTTAATCATGATGTAAATTAATTAACAAAAATGATATTGCAACCAATATGTGCACTAAAAAATCTTTATACATGGTGCACTGGTGAATGAAATAAAAAAAAACAACAGATTGACATGTTATGTTTCCTTTCATTGCTGTTGACCAACCAAGAATTGAATAGGAATTTGGTCTGTCTGTAGGAACCACATTTGATCAGAATTTTGAGGTGGTGGTGATAGCTTAATTCTACCCCTCCAAGCAGTCTTTGTGGTTGTTGTTTTGACGTTGGTGTATTACGCTGCTTATTAAGTAGAAGTTTTGGATACCCAGATATAGTTGGTTTAACACACGGTTCGAATTTGATCAAGGTAAACTCAAGTTACCTATAACAAGATGAGATCTTAAAACTGCTATGCAGCATCAGCCTTCTTGGGACAGTGTTGTTCAGTGTTTCTTTCAAACCGACCCAAATCTTTAAATAAAACATGGTCATATTATCATATCAAATACGGTGCCAAAGGCATCTGTTAAAATCTCAATGTAGTGGTTAAAATGTTAAGGCGTTTTTATTGTTGGTAAGGTCTTGAGAGGTAAGGTTTAGAACTTTAAGCGGTCGCGCCGCCCCACGCCACTTGACATCACGGGAGTACAAGAAATTCTGCAGTACGCAAACATGTCGGCTAAATTAATATTCTTATTTATTTTTCATTTACCTTTTTAAAAAGAGGGGTTTGATTCTATGCAGACTGAAGTTCTTTTCGATATGTAAAAATTCCTTTCAGTGAGAGCTGCTGACAACAGCTGTGCTGCTGCAAATTGTCAATATTTGCCCCACCAATGAACTTTTCTCATACTTCAATTCAATGTGGGCTACACTGCGTACACTTCTTCTGTGTGGGAGAGAGAGGAAGAGATAGAGAGAGAGGGGAAAAGAGATGGTTTTCAACATGGCGCTTCAGGATTTATGAAAATGTAGATTAAACTGCGAATTTCCAGTGAATTAATGTAAAAAATGGGGACTCAAAAGCCCCAAGAATGGGTTTCTGCTCTACTCATACGGTTTGAAGAGCAGGTGAGCTTCTAACCATGGCTGTAGTTGTTTGTGTCACCCGAAAATTCAAAGATTGCAGAGGAGACCTGTCATGAAAATCAATAACATTTCATTCAAGAAATGGGCTGGGCCAACTGGACGTGAAAATCACTACAAGGTTGTGCCCATTCATGCTTACTGATGAATGACAACTTCATTGAATCTTTTATGTCTGTTTAATGAATCACTGGCAACTGCTAGCTATATGCTTTGGTTCCCCTAACTATATTTTTTATACATGATACATCCTTATCCCAAAGTCTCAATATTAAAAGGTATTTGAAAAGTCAGTTATTCTCACTTCTTTGTAGAAATAGAAATGTTACATCTAAGAGACAAGCAGTTACTGCCAGAACTTGTAAATTTAGACAGATCACTTTCATTCTCTGTGTAATGTGATGCGTCCTGATGTTTCAGCAAAGGTTAAGGTTTTATTTTCTCTATTTACAGCTACCATGCCGAACAATGCCTCAAAATACTCATTCAAGAATAAATGAGGAACAGAATAAAAAATCCTTGATTGAAATAAGCAGGCATCGTTTTTTTCTTGTAATATCAGGCCTGACAAAGTGTCTTCAAAGAGTTAATGAAATGGTTGGTTTTGTATGGTTTCTTCTTATGTTTCTCCAAAGTTTTATGATGGAATGTCTAACTATTTTTGTATGCAATAGTGTCAAAATGTTACGCAAGGAACAAGGCCTCATGGCCCTGACATTGAACGTAATTGTTACGAAAGTTTGCTGATTGTTTTGGATACATTAGAGAGGTGTCTAAGTAACCAACCCAAAGACATTAAAGACAACACTCGTTTTGATGATAATATGAATGTCAAGCTATTGCTCCGTGAAATATGTCAGTTTATTGGTAAGTTGTCCTTTCATTCATAGCAATATTTTTAGTTACAAGTTTGTCCTTGAATTTAATTATTTTTCTATTGATGTCTGTCTTTGCTCTTTTTCAGTGATGGGTAAGAAATCAGTCTGAATGAAAATAACTAGGAACAATTATTTTTCAGTTAACTTTAATTTCTTAGAATATTAACTTTACACTTTTACTTGGGTACTCCAATAAATTGTTTTCTCTTTGTGCAGATCCATCAGATGGCCCGTATGTTATGCAACTCAGAAGTCTTGCTTCAAAGGTGCTGTTCGCACTTAGCCTGAATTTTTTTCAAGCAGTTTTTAATCGAATATCATCAAGGTAGTGTAGAACTTGTGTACACTTAAAACCACTTAAAATGCTCTTGTTGAGATTAGGTCTTTTTCTATATTTAATCAAAATTTATTCCTATGCAGGCTCCAGGAGTTAAGTGTCATCAGTGATGAAAATCCTGACTACAGTGATATAGAACTTATTCAGCATATCAATGTTGATGTCTTCAAGCTGACTAAGTTACTGCAAGGTAACACATCATTTTCATAAGTTTTCTATCTATTTTCAATCAATTTGTATTTCATTTTTATTTTCTGGGCAGAAACTATACAGAAGTTTCGCTTGTTGAAAAAGTCTGCTCAAGTTGTCCTGATGATATCACTTGAGAAAGCTATATGGAACTGGATGGATACGTATCCTCATGAGTTTGCTGAAATCCAGGTAAAGTTTTGAATTTGGTTGCATTTTTTAATTGATTTATTCTATTGATGAAAATAATCAGAAATGTTCGTAAAAGTTTAGTTGAAGAATACTTGGTTAGTTATTATCTTTTTACTTTGCAGAAAAAGCCAAATGATGATCTGTCTAAAGGCTGTGACAATTTATTTGATATTTTAGACACATCTACAGACAGCAGCAAGAAAGGTCGAGCAGCTGTATGGCCACTCCAGATGCTGCTTCTGATTTTGTCACCTGTATGTATTTTAATTAGTGTGGTGCATGGTTATCTGTTTATATGGCCTTGTACCCCTATCTAAATGAACACAGTCCATTAATTAATTTATTTTTTCTCCAGAAAGTTCTTGAGGAAATTGTCAATGCTGATTCTGGAGCTCCATGCTCACCTAGACACTCAAAGAAAAAAGCGTTTATTGACAATGTGAAACGAGCGCTTGGTCCTCATGGGAACAGTAAACAGTTAACTGAAGCCGCAGCTGTCACATGTGTGAAATTATGCAAAGCTTCCACTTACATCAATATTCTGGACTCAAATAATGTGGCATTCACCCTTGTTCAAAGTATTATAAATGACTTAAAAGTATGTACTATACATGTTACATGTTGATCAAAAGTAGTTTTCCACATGTATTAGGAATGGTCTCACATCAATGTCTTTCCCTTTCTTATTTTAGAACCTTCTCTTTAATCCTAACAAAGTGTTCACCAGAGGTGCCAGCTATATTGTGCAAGACATTGATCTCATGATAGACTGCTTTGTGTCTTGTTTCCGTATCAAGCCTCACAATAATGAAGCTCTTAAAGTGTGCATTAATCCCAATGTATCCCCTAACTATCACTTTGTTTTAATAAGCTCCCTTTACAGGTAAGTTTTTTTTTGTTTTTTTTAAATTTTATTTTCTTTCAGAAAACCTGCTTTTGTACTTATTTGCACTAACTTGTATCTTGCATCATGCCAGAATTATAACTCAGCCCAGGCTCCCTTGGTGGCCACAAATAGATTTGGTCTACAACAAATCATCTGAGCTAAGGTCAATGTTCACTGATACTTTGAATAAAGTCACTCAGGGTTATATAGCACACACACCACTTCGAATGATTCAGGTATGTAGTTGATATAATATGCGTACAAATAAGTAAATAATGAAAATAATAATAAAGGTGCTCTCACAATGCCCCAGCCCTTCACATCCTGTCATCCCCTTCACCCTTATTCCGTGCCATATTTAGCCTTTCTCTTTGTGAATATAGTTACCTAGACAAGATAAATTGTCATAGGTAATACAATCACAAAGCAAAAGGCGAACCTGACGCCCATCCCACCAGCTTGACTTAATATGTGGTTCTCTGTTATACTTCAGTCTCTGACCTTGAAGAGCAAAGATTCTGCAGGAAAATACAAGGAGCGTGGAGAGGACTTCAACCACCAAAAAAACCTTCTGCTTTGGATGGTTAGGCTTATTCATGCTGACCCAATGCTCATGTTAAATGTAAGGCTTATCTTTCTTTTAAAACATTATTATACTCTCACATTTGTTATTATTATACGTGTGGTTATATTTTTATGCTACCTAGAACCAAGGCAAGGCTGGGCATGAGATTCAGAGTTCTACTTTAGAGCTTATCAATGGACTTGTAAGTTTAGTTCATCAGCCCACAATGCCAGATGTTGCCCAAGAGGCAATGGAGGCTTTGCTGGTGCTTCATCATCCAGAAAAAATTGAAGTTTGGAATCCTGAAGCCCCCATCAATACGTTTTGGGATGTTAGGTTTGTGTCACAAAGTGCTTCTTATATTTAAAACAAATCAAGCTTTCTTGATTGATCGTCTTGAAACTTTTATTTCCATGTGTTTTTTTTTTTTTTTTTAGCTCTCAAGTCTTGTTTTCAATATCTCAAAAACTCATCCAACACCAGATAATGAACTATACTGACATTTTAAAATGGCTTAGAGAAATATTGGTTTGTCGAAATGCCTTTCTCACAAGACATAAAGATTATGCTAATGTTGGCAGTCAAATAGCTATCTGCAAACAAGCTCATATAAAATTAGAGGTAAAGTTGTATTGGTTTGGCTTTGAGAGATTTTTTATGCTTACTAAAATTATCTAAAACGGTTAAATTTTATCTAGGTGGTATTTTTTATGTATTTGTGGAGCATCGATATGGAAGCAGTTTTGGTAGCCATGTCCTGCTTCAGTTTGCTTTGTGAAGAAGCAGATATTCGTTGTGGTTCAGATGAAGTTACTGTAACATTTCTCCTTCCAAACTACCACATTTATCAAGAGCTTGCTCAAGCATCAACAGTGCTCACTACAGGTAAGAACCTGTTCGTAATGCTGTAAAAACTGCAAGTGTTCTAATCAATGCAGAATGTTATATCTTCTGGCCAACGAAATTCAAAGTTGCAACCAGTGGGATAATAGATAAACAAGTTATACATGAATGTCATCTGTCTCATCTTATTTCTTGCTGCTCTCTTTAAGTACTGTTTTCCTTCAATAAAGTTATGCGTTTTTATGAGCCGTAACCCTAATATACCCTATTATATTATGAATTAGGTATTTTTAACTTAACTTAATACTTTATACTGTAAATTTGAAATTTCGCACAAAGCTACCAGTGGGGACTCAAGAATTCATTTTCGTGAACAACACCATGGTAAGATGTTCACCTTGTGTACATTTTGCAATGCTCCTCTCTTTAAATATTAGCGTTTCTTAATTAGTCAACCTTTTCTGTGTTTTTGTCATTTTTTTATTGTTTTTTACTATCTTAGAAGAGGCTTACATTTTATGGCTGTGCCTTTTTCTTAGATGCTTCATATTTATAAGGTACCGTACACTATTATTTTATGATGGCCTATTATTTGTACCTCACTTTCACACATAATTAAAGGGTAAACTTAAAACAAATATAAAGGTACTGTTTCCTTTGAACCAGAATGTGGAATATTTTGTTTGTTTCACGTATCCATTTTATTGTATTTTAGATGTATGCCTTGCGTGTTTTGTATTTTTTTCTAGGAACTTTTTTGCTTTTGTCTACTTTTGCAATCTGTAGTTTGAGAGATGTTTGTGTGTCATTTATTGTTTTATTAGACACATTGGGCAATGCATGTAAAGTACTGTCAAGATTTTGTACACTTTTAATTTACTTTAGCAATTTATGTAAAATTGTAAATATAGTTTGTATCTATAGTGGTAATTTTCTTGGATTTAACATTATCTCAATGATAACCTAGTCAATCTTTTCAGGCCGAGCAGCTCTTCAAAAACGTATAATGGCTCTGCTGCGCAAGATAGATCACTGTATCAATGGAGTACAACCGGTAATTTGATTTTATATGAAATACCATAATTTTACATGAATATAAGACACCCACATTATCAATGCAAACTGTCCCTTTTTTGCCGTCGACGCTTCCTGTTTTGTTTGTTAGTGCAGAGAGGACTGCCCGGATATGTACGGAGGCTGACAGAAGTATAAAGCCAGTACAGCAAAAGAAGGGAAAGTTTGCGTAGAAATGTTGTGTTTGATATTTGTGTAAATACAGTAGTTGTATGTATAATTAGCATAACTTCTGTGGTTCACTAATGACATGTGATAAATAGAATTAACTACCATTTAACCATAAATCTTTATTTTTTATTCAGTGCGTGTTCTTCTTTGCAGGCTTGGGAAGAAACTTTTCGTAACTGGGAGGTATCCAAGAATGCTCTGTCCTTATATCCAAAGACAAAATTAGAAGATGGCCAGATGGAACCATTCCATCGTTCGGTTGGAAAAAGAAGAGCTTCACATCAAAATTCAGAACATGAATTAGAGGTAAAATTACTTAGGTCAGATAGGACACTCTCCCTGTATCATTCCTTTCTTCAGTCATATGATTTATGTTCATTTCCTTTTTCAGGATCAGATAAATGAATGGGCAAACATGACAGGATTTTTGGTATCATTAGGAGGTGTTTGCCTTCAGCGAAAGAGTCCTTCACGCAAATGCAACATCCTTCCGAATCAGACTAGCCAAGAGGTTCAATATTGCCCTGTTACCCAGTAAGTTAAAAAAAGAAAGGAAAAAACAAAATCTGGCAGTTATTTTAAACCAAACTTATCTTTGTCTTTTGTTTAATGTTTCACTCAATCTAATCAATTATTATCAATATTTCAACTACTATGTACTCTACTCTCAGATTTGTTGGAGAACTTTTAAAGCTGTTGGTATGCAAGAATGAAAAATTTGGGCCTCAGATCCAGAAAAATGTGAAAGAGTTGGTTGGGCACGAAATGTCTCCGGCACTTTATCCAATCCTCTTTGACCAAATTAAATTTTTTGTTGAGAAGTTTTTTGATACTCAAGGACAGGTTTGTTTTTTGTCAATTGCTTATTGTTTTTAATCTGTTTTTTTTTGGTTTTTTTGGTTTTAAATTTAAATAAAATCTTCACAGTTTTACTACTGTAACTCTTTTCCTTTTGCAGGTTGTAGTTGCAGATCACAATACACAATTTATTGAACATATAATTTTTGTCATGAAAAATGTGTTAGATAGTAAAACTGATCAGCCTTCTGAGCATTTGGGGGTTACTTCTATTGAGGGAATGATGCTTGCTATTGTGAGGTACATGAGAAACCTTTTTGAAGGGCTGTGCTACAGAAATTGTATGAAAATTCTCATATTTTTCCTTACTTTTAATTTTTGTACTATTTTTTTCCAATTAAGGTATGTACGGCACTTGGATATGACTGTCCATGCTATTCACATCAAAACGAAGCTTTGTCAGTTGGTGGAGGCGATGATGAAGCGGAGAGACGATCTTGCTTTCCGACAGGAAATGAAATTCCGCAACAAATTAGTGGAGTATCTTACTGATTGGGTCATGGGCACTGCTCATCAAATTGCACCCCCAGGACCCGGAGATGTTGCAACAATAACAAGGTAGAAAATAAAGCCCCAAACTGTCACTTGTCACTTGTTAATACATAAAGTGCCTAAATTCAGAACTGTCCTCTCTAAACCTTTGAAGCCGTGATCTGGACCAGGCCTGCATGGAAGCAGTTGCAGCACTTCTCAGGGGTCTTCCCCTTCAACCTGAAGAATCTGATCGAGGGGATCTTATGGAGGCTAAGAGTCAATTATTTTTGAAGTAGGTGTGATACTGCCAGTATAGTATTAGTGATAAAAATTATCCATAGTATCATAAATATCTATCTTGAAATTTTTAGGTATTTCACTCTTTTTATGAATTTACTAAATGACTCAACTGAAAACCAGGAGGAAGTACCTTTGCCTCGACAGAGAGTTCAATCTAATAAAAACAACACATTGCGTCAAGCTACAATTCAGGCAATGTCAAATTTGCTATCTGCAAACATTGATAGTGGACTGATGCATTCTATTGGTCAGTATTATTAAATGGTTGTCTAAAAGCTCTGTTTAATTAGAAACCTACGTTAAATTTTGTTTCACAGAAAGTGTTAGTCTTTTATTCAAAAATTTCAAGAAAATATTTGCATGTTCTGATTGTTTTATTTCAGATTTGGGATACAACCGGGATTTACAAACAAGAGCAGCTTTTATGGAGGTTTTAACAAAGATTCTTCAGCAAGGGACAGAATTTAACACTCTAGCAGAAACTGTTCTTGCCGATAGATTTGAACAACTTGTTCAACTTGTCACAATGATAAGTGACAAAGGGGAATTACCAATTGCTATGGCACTTGCAAGTGTTGTAACAACTTCACAAATGGTTTGAAATTTATTGTTGACTAATGATTTCTAAATTTGTTGTATCTTGGTAGGTAAGAAGTTTTCTTTTCTTATTGATTGCAGGATGAACTTGCTAGAGTATTTGTTACACTCTTTGATGCTAAACATCTTCTTTCACCTCTACTTTGGAACATGTTTTACCGCGAAGTTGAAGTATCTGACAGCATGCAGACATTATTCAGAGGAAATTCTTTAGGTAGTAAAATAATGGCATTTTGTTTCAAAATTTACGGAGCGGACTACTTGCAGTCTCTCCTGGAACCACTCATACGACCTCTTCTTGACGACCCCACTCAAAGTTTTGAAATTGACCCTGCAAGGTAAAAACTGTTATTTTGTTGTTTTTCAAAAATGCTGTTTTAAGTTTTCTAAATTTTAATCTTTTGATGACCAGGCTGGATCCATCAGAAAGCATTGAACAAAATCGTCAGAATCTTATTAATCTTACTGAAAAGGTCTTCAATGCTATAGTATCCTCAGCAGAGAAGTTAGTAAATGTTGCTTTATTGTTAGCACAGCTGCACTGCCTATTGTTGTCTATAGATGTGTCAACAAATTTGGTCTACCCTCTTTTAGGTTTCCTCCTCAGTTACGCAGTATGTGCCATTGCTTGTACCAAGTTCTGAGCAAACGTTTTCCTCAATTTCCTCAAAATAATATTGGTGCTGTTGGCACTGTCATATTTCTTCGTTTCATCAATCCTGCTATAGGTATACTGGTTATTATTTAAATCTAATCCATACTTTGAGAATTGCAAGAAATGTGTGTTCCAACAGGGTGTATATTTCCATACTCGAATAACTAATCAAAGTTTCTACCTATTCTTTTATTTTACAGTATCTCCTCAGGAAATGGGTATTGTCAACCGCCAAGTTCATCCTGGGGTCAAGAGAGGACTGATGCTCATGTCCAAAATATTGCAAAACATTGCTAACCATGTAGAATTCAGTAAAGAACAGCATATGCTTCCATTCAATGATATGCTTCATGACCATTTTGAAATTGGTAGACGATTCTTCATTCAAATTGCCTCTGATTGTGAAACTATGGACCAGACATCACATAATATGTCTTTCATAAGTGATGCCAATGTTCTTGCTCTTCATCGCCTTTTATGGAATCACCAAGAGAGGATAGGAGACTACTTGTCAAGCAGCAGAGACCACAAGGCTGTCGGGAGACGACCATTTGACAAAATGGCCACTCTTTTGGCTTACTTAGGCCCTCCTGAGCATAAGCCTGTTGATTCTCACTTATTGTTCTCAACATATGCTCGGTGGAGTTCAATTGACATGTCTAGCAACAAGTTTGAAGAAATCATGGTCAAACACAAAATTCATGAAAAAGAAGAATTTAAGAGTCTTAAAGCTCTAAATATATTTTACCAATCTGGCTACAGTAAGGCAGGATATCCTGTTTTTTATTATATAGCTAGGAGGTACAAAATTGGCGAGACTAATGGAGACTTACTTATCTACAATGTCATCCTTACCTTAAAGCCCTTCTGCCATTCTTCTTTTGAGCTTGTTATCGATTTTACGCATACAAATACGGACAACCGATTTCGTACAGAATTCCTTCAGAAGTGGTTTCATGTCTTGCCTGCCATTATAAATGAAAATATTAACATGGTATACATTTACAACTGCAACACATGGGTCCGCGAATACACCAAGTATCATGATCGAATTTTGCAGCCCATCAAAGGAAATAGGAAGTTAGTATTTATTGAGTCGCAGGCAAAGCTGATTGAATATATTGATCCTGACCAGCAGAAGCTTCCTGGAGCTACACTTGCTCTTGATGAAGATTTGAAAGTGTTCAATAATGCCTTAAAACTATCTCATAAAGATACAAAGGTTGCTATGAAAGTTGGACCAACAGCAATTCAGATAACATCTGCAGAGAAGACTAAAGTGCTGTCTCACTCAGTGCTCCTCAATGATGTATATTATGCTTCAGAAATAGAAGAAGTGTGTCTTGTTGATGACAATCAATTTACTCTTACCATAGCAAATGAGTCAGGTCCTTTGAGCTTCATTCATAATGACTGTGATAGTATTGTGCAAGCTATTATTCATATCCGCAATCGATGGGAGTTATCACAGCCTGTAAGTTCTGCTTTGTTCTAATTTTTCAGTTCCATTTTATTCCATCCAACAATCAATTTTATTAATCTTTTTCTGGTTGCAGGCTCAGGATTCTGTAACAGTCCATCAAAAAATTCGCCCAAAAGATGTGCCTGGGACTCTACTTAATATGGCATTGTTAAACCTTGGATCTTCAGATCCTAATCTCCGTACTGCAGCTTACAACCAACTCTGTGCCCTTACTGCAACATTTGACTTGAAAATAGAAGGCCAGCTATTAGAGACATCAGGTTTGTAAAATATCTTACAGTTGACAATTCATGAAACATTATGTAAACACACTTGTACATGAAAGAAATTAACACACTTGTTTGGTTCTGCTCTAGGACTCTGCATACCATCAAATAATACCATCTTCATTAAATCTGTTAGTGAAAAGCTTGCTACAAATGAACCACATTTAACTTTAGAATTTCTTGAGGAGTGTGTGCAGGGATTCAGAGTGTCTACTATTGAGCTAAAACATTTGTGTCTTGAGTATATGACACCATGGTTGCCAAATTTGGTCAAGTTTTGCAAGCAAGATGAGAGCAAAAGACAGGATGAAAGCAAACGTCAACAGAAGGTCAATTCTATTTTAGAGAAGCTCATTCAGTTGACTGTCCAAGAAGTGGAAATGTATCCCTCCATTCAAGCAAAAATATGGGGTTCGATCGGGCAGGTTCCTGAACTCATTGACATGGTGTTGGATAGCTTTATAAAAAGGTCTGGAGAACATGGGGTAGGGTCTCCTGTTGTGGAAATTCTTGCTGACACTGCTGTTGCCCTAGCTTCAGCAAATGTGTCTTTGGTATCAAGAAAAATCATTAATAGACTTTGTCGGGTAAGACTTTGACATTGGTAGAATGATTTAATCTGGTATCTTATTTCAGTTTATGATTGCCCTATTTTCTGGTTAAAATTTTTCATAAATTGTCCTTTCTTGTGTTACAGGTTTTAGACAAGACCTGCACATCTCCAACACAACTACTAGAAGCTCATGTTTTATGGGATGATATTGCCATTCTGGCTCGATATCTTTTAATGTTGTCTTTCAATAACTGTCTTGATGTTGCGGTTCATCTTCCACATCTCTTTCACACAATAACTATGCTTGTGTGTTCTGGATCTCTCAGTATGAGGGCTTCCACTCATGGTTTAGTGATAAATACTATACATTCCCTCTGTACTTGCACTAAGCCAACCTTTGATGAAGATGCTCAGCGAGTTCTACGGTTAAGTTTAGATGAGTTTTCTCTTCCCAAATTTTATCTTTTGTTTGGCATTAGCAAGGTGAAATCTGCTGCTGTGACAGCATTCAGATCAAGTTACCGTCATCCAAGTGACAGACTATTAGGAAATGAAAGGGTATTCTCTGGGTTGTCTTCGGATAGAGAACGTCTCTCACTGACTTCTTTGGAAGTTGTCACAGATGCTTTACTTGAGATAATGGAAGCTTGTATGCGGGACATACCCACCTGTGACTGGCTTAGAACTTGGACAACACTTGCAAAGAAATTTGCATTCTGTTTCAATCCAGCATTGCAGCCCCGGGCACTTATTGTTTTGGGTTGCATTAGTAAAAGCATTACTGATCAAGACATTAAACAATTACTTCGCATCCTCGTGAAAGCTCTGGAGAGTTTCAATGACATGACTCTGCTTGAGGCTCTTGTCATGTGCCTGACTCGCCTTCAGCCACTTCTTAGACCTGAGTCACCTATTCACCGAGCCCTCTTCTGGGTTGCTCTTTCAGTATTGCAACTGGATGAAGTGTCTTTGTATGCTTCTGGACTGGCTCTCCTTGAACAGAACTTGCACACACTTGATTCACAACGATCATTTGAGGAAAGGGTATGTGGCAAGCTCTATATGTTTAGTAGAACTATCTATCTATGTCTAAGTATTAGATATTGTGTTGATGCTTAAATATCCTATGAACATATTTTCAGTCTCTGGAGCAAGTCATGATGGCAACACGTGAACCGTTAGAATGGCATTTTAAGCAGCTAGATCATGCTGTTGGCCTAAGTTTTAAAGGTATTCCTTCATTCCAGACTAGACACTTAGCCATAGCAGTTTTACTGAACTATAGATTCATGTAATACTTTTGTTAAAACAGTGAACTTCCACTTTGCACTGGTTGGGCATCTACTTAAAGGATTCAGACATCCCACTCCTACAACAGTTACTAGGACAACAAGAGTGTTGTCAATGCTTCTGGGGATAGTTGCAAAACCTCACAAACGAGATAAATTTGAAGTAACACCAGAGAGTGTTGCATACTTAGCAGGTATGAGTGGCATTTAAATTTACTGTTTTGTGTTTTGATAGTAATTTTTTCTCCCCATTTTCAGCACTTGTTTCTGTATCTGAGGAAGTTCGAAGCCGATGCCATGTCAAGCATTCATTAGCTCGAATGATGCCAGATTCAAGCTCTGCTGAAAGTTTTGCTGTTGATGTAAGGCATGGAAATGCTTCAGTCACGCCTCAAGTAGGAATTCTTCTAGGGAATTATGGGTTTTTCAAGGGTTCTTTACTGTACTTACAACTATAAAATTTATTTTAATTAGCTGACAGGCATGTGTAGCTCAGGCATCGGGAGTCAAGGCAGTACCACATCCAGTGCTACATCTACTCCCAGCACTGACAGGATTGCTTTGAGTGCTGTTCCCTGTTCTGGTTTTGTTGGAACTGTTAGTATGACGGCGCCAGCTAACAGACGTCAAAAATCATGGGATATGTTAGATCAAAATGCCCTTTCCCAGGCTAGACAACAGAAGTCTCAGCAGCAGGTATGTACCTTTTTTTGTTATCTAATTTTTATCTCAATACAGTGTGATGTATTTATTTAGGAACATTTCTGGGTACACAGTTCTTTGACCACATAAACAGTTATTTCCTTTGTGTTTGTTGTGATTTTTAAGGGGTGGGGTTGGGAGATATATTTGTTGAACCTGCTTGGATTGGTTTTAAGTATTTAAATGAAGGGAGAAAGTAAATATGTATATTTTTTAAGACTATTTTTTCTGTAAAGGTATCAGTTATGTGTTGTTTTACTGACTAAAATAGTTTTCTAATTTTGAGTAAAAAGTGAATTATCCAAATATTTTTTTTGCTTTTTTGAGATGACTGCTAATGTTTTTATATAGGTGAGCCCATGCTCTGGTGCAGCCCCACCCCCTTCTAAGGTTTGGCATAGTCTAGACCTTGGGTCAAACACCCAACCCAACCCCCTTCCTCCTAGGTGGCTGTTTCGAAATCAGCGTTCCTCATCTGTTCCGGCTTCCAAATCCAGTATCGAGTCAAATGCTGCAGGCGTGGATGGGAAAGTAAGATGTGCCTTTAAGCATCACCTCCCTATCATTCTTGCTCTATCTTCTTGCTATCTATGGGGCACACATCTGTTACCATTACTCCTCACAGCTCACTTCATCTCTCTTTCTTCATCTCAGTTCTTTATGTGCTGGTGCTGTGCAGTGTTCTCTCAGCAATTAACAAATGTGACTCATGTATTTTGTTTGACCCTTGTTTTTAACTTTCCTTTGCTTTCCTCTCCTTGCATGCAGTTTGGTCAGGGTTCAGTGCGTTTTTGCATGTGAGAGAAGTGGACTGTCCATAATTAACCCAACTAGGAATTTTACTATTTTACTTTTTGAATAATGGAACTTGTGTCTCTCTTTTCATACAAATTCATACTATTTCTTTAAGTTGCTAAACTTTATGGACATTATCATCAGTCAATCAGTCAACAGTGCATTTGTAGCTCAGTCTCATTACTAGTTTATAATAAAACAGCCTGCTGCCTTCTTAGGTGCCGGAATTTTCAAATTTTTGGTGCCCAGTGGCTTGTTTTTAAATTCATATTGATAGAAAGAGTGACCTAAATTATGTTGGGTTCAGAATGCTCGCGTCCTGTTCAAAACGCAACGTTCATTCTCCGTGCCAACTTCTAAAGAGCGGAAGTCAATGGAGGAAGCTGAATCCAAGGTAGTGTGCACTTCTATCTTAGAATTTCCTTTCACACACCACTATTGGCTTCCATGTGCAGAATTTTTTTAAGAGAAAGTACACCTTTACTGAGATATGGTCCATATCATCATACTAAGTAAGGTATGATTGTTTTCTGACATCTAACACCACTTTATTCCAACAGTTTTTCAAAACAATGTTTAACAAGAAAAAAAAAATTAAAAGCAATTGTACTTATTGTGTGGTGTGTGATGAACTACAGCATGCTTTTGTCAGTCAGCATGTTTGTCTGTCTGTCTAAATAGATAGAAGGTCTCTGGTTGCATGCTCACAAATGATTCAGTGTCTACTGTTTGTCTTAAATTTAAGCTCTTGTGTGCAATGTGCTCTAAAGCACTCAACACAATACTCTTTTTCTTCTTCTTCATCTGTTCAGTGTGTGTGTGTGTGTGGGGGGGGGGGGGCATAAATCGTAAAGAACTAAATGTGTCATACACACACAATTTAAAGTATAGGTCACTCTAAGATATTCTAGTTCCAGCTTAATTGTTTCATTCTCACCAGTACCTGTTCAGTAACACCATAATTTTTCAAACTTGTAAATGGCCTTTTCTTTGTAAAATAACATATTAGAAATCACAGTATGTTGCTAAATTATCCAAAACAAACACTTTTCTAGTATTCATTTGAACTCTTTTTTATGTAGGTAGATTCAATAGATGCCGTTCACTTTTCTGAAGCGCTACTATGCAAGGTTTATGAATGTATTATTAGCACAGCATTTAAAATGTGTTTGGCACAACTAGTGGTGTCTGTCCAGTGTCCTAATAAACCAGTGTAGTTACATAATAAACTCTAACTTCATATTCCAGGGATTCCAAAGTACATGACTTCAGATCTTTTGCATGATACTCATTTGAGAAGGACAGAAAGTCTGATGTGATCTAATCATATATTTTTCTATCAAAAAAATTACTATATGTTACAAATAGTTTTAGTGTTATGAGAATGTACTTCTAATCAAATAACTGTTTTTTTGTGTTTTGTTTTTTTTAACTTGTTTGAGGTCAATGGACTTTAAAAAATTGATAGAGAACTAAAAACTAGTGTTGTGGATATATATGCTGTATATAATTCATGCTTTAAAAAAACATTTAAAATTAAATCTGTAACTTTTAAAGAAAACGCAACAAATTGCTTTCTAATTTCTCTTGTAATGATTGATTGTTGGCAGAATCGTAGTCCACGTGTGTCTGTCTCCAATGAAAATAACATTCTACTTGATCCAGAAGTTCTGACGGACTTTTCAACTCAGGCATTGGTACTAACAGTGCTAGCAACACTAGTCAAGTATGCAACTGATGAAGGGGAGACAAGAATATTGTACCAATACCTAGCTGAGGCCTCAATCGTATTTCCAAGAGTTTTTCCTGTGATGTTAGTATGCAATGTTGTAGTGTAAAATCTGTTTAGTTGCTTGAAATTTTCATATGGTTTTCATTTTTACTGCTTACTTGCCCACAGACACAGTCTTCTTGATGCGAAACTAACAAGTGTGGTCTCTAACTGCCATGATCCTGTGATATTGAGTGCGGTTCAGAGTATTGTACAAAATATGGTGGCATGTGAGGACACAACTCAACAACAGCCTCATTATATGCAAACATGTGGTTTTGGGGGCTTGTGGAGATTTGCAGGGCCATTTACCAAGGTATTATTTTTTTTTTCTTTAATTTTGAACTGTCAGCAGATAGTTGCAGAGTTCACAAGTGTATCAAAAATGTCTCTTTCTCCTTAGTGTCAATGTACAGCTGAAAGTGCTGAACTTTTCGTCAACTGTCTGGAGGCTATGGTTGAGACATGTTTACCTTTAGAGGATGGAGAACTGGAACTAGCTCCTTTCCCATCAATGCTGAGTGTTTCAAGTAATGTGAACCTGTCTTCTAGCCTGTCATCTTTGAATATGGGGTCTCCAACAGACAAAGGTGAGTATAATGTGTTAAAATATGACAGTAACTGAAATTAAAATTTTGATTCACACCAAGCTTTTTTTTTCATGTCAGATATGGGAATTGAACTGGGGTCTGATAATACCTCATGCTGCTCAACTTCCCTAGGCCGAAACTCATATGGAAAACAGAGGTCATCATCAAATGCCTCCAAAATTGCAAGCGATTCAAAATGAAGATGGGACAGAACATTGTTAACTTAACGGAATTCTAAATTTTATGTTGTTGTTATTATTACAGTACTAAACTACCTCTAGGAATTCTGCAAGTAGGGTAGATGGATCCATTCTATCTTTTATTATTTCAAGAATTTGTTGTAGCTAGAATCTAATATACCTCATTTTTATTCAGGGTTTTTTAAAATGAAGATTTACATATTTAATCAGTTTAAATCTTATGCTATGTTTCTTGATAAGCAGCACAGTTTTGAAACATTCCTGCCTTTTTTTTAGCAGTGACTTTTCTTGTTGGGCGATACTGTATTTATTGTTGTTTTTGCTTCATTAGACAATGTGATATTGTGATAATCAGAATGTATAATGACTAATTATTTTAATCAAAAGGTAGATATTGGAGACTGATTGATCACACTTAAGACAAGGGACCAATGAGCATGGAGTTAAATGTGCCCCTTTTTCTCTAATTGTAGTTGTTGTGTGTTCATCGTCTTAGTATAAAATTAATGTACGATTATTACTATTATTCTCTTTCCCTTTGTTTCTCTCTCCCTATCTATTTATCTTTTCCTTCATTTCCTTTAATTATTTTTCTGACTGAAGCGTTGTTGCCTAAACTTTTATGCTCTGTACAGGTACAAATCCAGTTTTAATGTAACATATCAGTAATCATGTGAAGTACTGGTAATGGACCAATTTGTGTACAGAATACCCCATACATGGTACTATTAATTTTGAAGTTCATCCTTTTAATGTATATCATTCTCAAAGAATGGAGGTATTCTGTGGTATTCTTATCTCAGGGACGGATTCTAAATTCAGTTTTAGGAGAAAATAAGGGTACATGGAAATTTTAGTAAAGTTTGAAAAGTACAAATTTGTGAACACCAATAAATACTTTTGTGCCGCCTTCTAAATCATAAGTGGCATTCACACAAGGGGGCTTTCAGAACTCTTGTTAAATTTTATTCGTATGGATAATTTTCAAAGCAATAGACACAAGTTCTTATATACCTAATTATTTAGTGCACAGAATATGATCTGTTCTCCCTTTCCCATAGAACTCTCTGAGTATTACTCTTGAGATGTCATTGACCATGAACATTGAGTTCTAGGACTTTACATGAACCTATTTACATCACTTTCATGAAAATGTCTTGTAGGACAACTATTTTGTTATACTTAATTTTTTAAACCTCCTACCTGTATGCCGGAAATTAGTAATTAGTTTTGTTGGGAAGGATTACTTTTGTTTGAACAGTTCAGATAGCAGAGATCCAAGCCCATCATAGATATTGTAGAACTTGTTTTCAAATTTTATCGTTTGTGTCTGTTTTTGCACTTAAAATGTTACAAGCTGCGTTAAAAAAAAAAAAAACTAAAAAAAACTGTATTGTGGATGTGCCAACTATTGCCAACTTTTGTTTTAGAAATTTGCGCGTCTCAAAACTTGATCATTGATATTTATCAAGTACAACACCTTGTGCACAATTTTATAGTGTTGTCAGCTATGCTGGTAGTTTTAAAATAAAAAGTTTGTTGACAGGCTATGTCATATAGTAGAGTACAATTTTGTGTTATGTGGTTTTGATGAAGTTCTAAGAATAAAGGGATTATTTTTAGGAACATCAGTAACATGCTTTTACATTACAATGTTACTAAAAAAAAATAATTAGCAAATGAACATTTTAACTCTTATCTTGTAAACTAACGTCTAAAATTGTAGATATAGGCTTAATGGATTTTCCTCTTGGGGAAACTATTCCAGTTGAGCCGGTATGTTATTAACAAAATATTTTGTAACCTAATGTTTGTCCTCTTCAGATTTTGTCTTTTAAAATCTTCAAATTTTATTCCTGTTATCGTGTGAAATTGTACAAAGGATGGGGCAGAGCACAAGGACACTCAACTGTATTTTAGTAGAGATAACTAAATGAAATATGACCTTGTAATTTTTCTTAATGTTTGTGGATCTTTTATTATGATTGTTGCTTTATTCCATCTACCAGAATTTTCCTGTGGATTTTGAAGCTTGTGTAGGGCGAGATATTTAAATTGATGTACTTTAACATAAGTAGTGCTGGCCTCTCTTCTAAGTTTGAGATGTACATTGATTCCAATTATTTTAACGATAAAATGTTCATAAAGGGAAAAGATTTTTGTAAAAAATAAAGAGAAGAAAGAAAAGAATAAGTTCCTTAAATAAATTTTTAGTCTTAGAGTGAGATCTTGGATTACTTTGTCTGTGATGTGATGAAACTTATTGATACTTATTGATTTACAAGTGAATTAAATGTTGAATGCTGTACACAAGAGTTTTATTACATTTAGTCAATTAGGTTTAATTAAAATACTTAGAGAACATTCTGAACACGGACAGTAAAGATCAATATTGCCATTGGTTTGATCATCCTTTAAAATGCTGTATACACTGCCACAACGACATGGGTAGCGATAACTACCTTCCTCAAAATCCATTTCATTCCACCTTAAAGTAGCATACAGAACATGTTCACTCTCACATTGCTCTGCTAGCAGCTGAGCATCATACGCTTTTCTTTTAACTGGGTCCCTCAATGTCTGCCAGGCTTCATTAATTTTAATAAATAATTCATTAGGAGAATGATGATTTGCTGGAGCCTTGTCAGGGTGTGACTTCAGGATAAGTTCTTGGTAGTGTCTCTTGATTTCTTCAAAGGTAGCATTCTCTTCACACCCTAATAATGTATAGTGATTTGCCATTTCTGATGTACAAAGACCTGAAGAAACTAATTCTCCTTATAAAAATTGGATTGTTCGATTTCTTAGCATGAAATAACTTTATACGAACTCACCAATTATGCGGTGATTTCTACAGATAGTTTAGTAACTAGTCTAAAGAGCAAAAGATGCCCATATTAAATAGTGCTAAACCAATGAAATTGCTTTCTACTTGTTTGTTTGTTTATGAATCCAGCACTTCTTAACCTCAATAAAGGCATAAAAGCAAGTACCATTTATTTGCCATACCACTCACACTACCACCACAACAGCACCGCGGTTTTGGCATTCAGCAGTTGGTAGTGGGCAGGCCGTGTAGGATGAGGACGAAAATGGCAGAAGCACTGTTGTCGAGTCAAGACTGGGGAAGATTTTCAATGTTTTTACCTACTTTATTTACACTTTTAGTCTCTTTGAATCACGGTGAGTACTCATGAACTCTGCAGTTAACCGTGGAACATGTCGTGACTTGGCCAAAGTTTCCCGTTTGGCATACACTCACCTGTCCATAATGTTGTTGTCGTCTAGGCTTTCATTCTTATGTCGTTGTTAAGAGAGCACCCTGTAATAGGTTTTCACGTTTTCCTTGAGTTAGTTAAATAAATCTTGATTAAAGATAAATCTTATATTATCTCTATCCAGAATATTTATTTAAACCATGTACTTTAATGACTTTTATCTTTCGGAAATCTTCATTATCTATTGTTGCACTAGAACTACTGCATTTGGTTGTTTTTTTTTCCCCCCACTGATATAAAGTTAACTTATCTTTCATTAAATGATACATATCCACCAACCAGTTTAATGCTATATTATTAAAAATTCGTAATGTTCTTACGTTGTGTAAATATTTGTCTCTGAAAAACAACGAGTGGCGTTTGCAAAATTTAGTTAACTGTCTTCAACATGTATGGAAGATAGACTTTAGTTCCTAATCCTTATCTCTTTAGCTTTTCCTACATTGTGAGAAAAGACCAAGACTCATTACTGGTTCTATTTTCGACTGCACTTTGTTTCTTTTTGTTTGCAAGGCTTGCTTTTTTACCTGTGCACATGCATATTCAGCACAAAAATACAATCAGCTAGTGTTGGACTGGGCTCAAGATTTGTTCCAGCACTGAAGCTGTCAAATTTCATCCCCTTTCTTGGGTATTAATTGTAGAAATAAGCTTTAGCTCTGCTTTAAATCATCCATTTAAACCATATGTAGCGTGTATGGTTTCTTACAATATACGAAATATGTTGGACGAGGAACACATATTAGTGCGCCTCATTTCATTGGCTTTCATATTGCCCATGCTCTATCTAAACAGCACTTATTTCTTTTGTTTTGGATTAAAAGGAATAGTATTTGAAATTTGTTGTAGCATTGTCTAGAACCATTTAAAATAAACTAGGTGTCTACCAATGAATGCAGTCTCAACCCCGGAGGCTGACAGGAGTGGGAGTGAGGGTGAGAGCCTCCAGGGGCAGGT